AACCTGGACCTATAGACCCTCCAGTTCTTCTAGATGTGAAATCAAGAATGATGTTGATCACCTGGCAGCATCCTCTGAAGTGCAACGGGGTTATTACCCACTACAACCTTTACCAACGTGGTCATCTCTACTTGAAAACTCCTGGAAATGTCTCTACTTACATAGCGGTTCACCTGCGCCCATATACCGCCTACCAGTTTCAAGTAGAAGCCTGTACTTCAAAAGGATGTTCCCTTTCACCAGAGTCTCAGACTGTATGGACTCTCCCAGACGCCCCAGAAGGTATCCCCAGTCCAGAGCTGTTCTCGGATACACCGACATCTGTGATTTTATCTTGGCGACACCCCACCCATCCCAATGGTGTAGTGGAGAACTTCACAGTTGAGAGAAGAGCCAAAGGGAAGGAAGAAGTTACTACCCTGGTGACTCTCCCAAGACATCATCCCATGAGGTTTATCGACAACAGTCCTGCTCTTAGCCCGTGGACAAAATATGAATACCGGGTACTGATGAGCACTTTCAATGGAGGTACGAACGGCAGTGCTTGGGCAGAAGTCACCACGAGACCCTCACGGCCTGCTGGGGTACAGCCACCCATGGTGCACGTGCTAGGACCCGACGCAGCCAAGGTAAGACAGTGAGTGTTTTGTCTCCTTTGCAGACTCTGGAATTTAACCTAGATCCACTCTGTGTTGAACAGAGCCATCTACTGACAGAACTCACACCTCTGCTGTTTCAGGCACTCATTGGAGAAAAACTGGGTTTTGGCCTTTGGCCCAAACTATCTTGAATTCAGTGTCAGCTTTTCATTTCTCCCTGTATCTCCTTAATTGTATAGTTGAGATGCTGCCATTTGCCTCCCACACCTGAAATACTTTGAATGCCACAATGGGACGCTTAGCTTAACCACCACGTCAGATTTAAATAGATCAGAAAATGAGAAGAGATGGGAAAATGCTGAGGCATGGATTAGCATAGTAACAAAAGTTCCAATTATCAATATCCTGATTTTCTTTTAACGATCAAAGGATCCAAATTATAGGGAAAGAAATAAAAATAGCATATTGCTGGGCTATCTAGAGACTGTTCAATTATTCACCTCATTCTACTGGGAAGGAACTCTAGAGGGCAGGATAACTACCATTGTGCTGGCTTGCATACAAACTTCATTCAAGGGAAATTAGTGTAACCAAACAGGAGGGAGTTTTGTAGCTTAGAAGCCTCTTTTGTGTAAATACACGCATGCTTCCATGGATTCAGTCTTGTACTAATGCCAAAAGCGTTGGTACAGTAGCTTGCTCACCAGAGCACAAAACAAAAGACATTTGCATAACTGCAAAGTTCATCTGTTAACATTATTATTTGGATCTCTTTTGTGTATTCTCGCCCCACCACCCAAACGAACACTAGGTGAAGCTAACTAGTATAAATTGTTGAAGAAATTTTAGTTAAGCTACTAAGCCGAATGCTATTTTAAAAAATATCTATTAATTAGTTGTAATATGAAACTGATCAAAGCAATGCACCTTTTTCTCAGAACTATAGAAATATCAAAAGTATATAGAATTCTCTTGATGAAACACTAAAAGGAAATGAATTTTAAGGACATGATGTACAGTGTTTATTGTATGAATGTGTTAGAGCCAGCTACTTAGCCAACTGGTTAGAATGTTAGCCCACTAATGATTTTAGGCAATCTTAAGAATTTCTCTTCATTCCAAGTAAAGGGGGGAAACAAAGACCTAGGGTTATTACTCATTCTAGAAATGACTTTTTTTTTTATTAATTCTGGGGGAATTTTGCAAAACTACGGCAGGAGCCCCAGTCGATATGATGCAACATGACAAACACTGTCCTTTCACAAAGGCAAAGCTACATAATAGACATTTTTCTGGATTCTTCTGAACAAAATTTAGTAACTAGGCATTGCTGATTGTGGCAGAACTGGAAAAGAACAAATATCTTCAGTAGAATAATAGCTTCATGCACAACTCTACTTGAGTCGGCATGTCTAAACCAGGACCAGAATGATCCACAACAGGTTGCCTGGATGTGTCTTGTCTTTTCTTTATGTCCTCTTTTGATTTTTTTTTTTTTTTAAACCTCCCCCCGGGAATGAAATAACATGGCTTCTTACTTATAGAGTAGATTTCGGATGTGCGTAACTTGGCTGGAGAGCTGGGCTCCCAGTCACTCCCGAGTCCTGTGGTCCTCAGCCAGGTCAGGAATTTAAGTCTCTAAGGAGGTGCCTGAAAGAAGTAGACAGTGTACACTAGTAATAACTCCAAAATATTCATGCCTTTTGTTAATTTGTTTTCTATAGCTAAGAAATCAAAAGTTATCAACTGAGAGCATCAGCTCGAATATTAACGGAATCTAGGACCTCAGGGTATATATTTCAATAACATTAAAATAACATGACCTACTTGTGCTTTAAACTCATTGGCTCAAGCTATGTTCGGGAAGTCCTTAAGACTTTGCAAAGTGCACTTTCTAGTGACATAGCTTATCTGATGAGCCAAGGCATGTGACAGCAATACACTGACTTCTCTTGGTAAAATATAGGATTTAAGAGTCAGAATTGTAAAAGTGAAAGATTTATGAGGAATAACTAAAGGACAGTCATTAGTGCAATGATTAAGAAATTTATTTAACATTCACTACAGGAAGTTGTTTCAAGTGTTAGGATGAAGGAAAGTGTCAATAATATTAACCCGTTGCCATCGATTCGATTCCGACTCATAGTGACCTTATAGGACAGAGCAGAACTGCCCTATAGGGTTTCCAAGGAGCAGCTAGTGGATTCGACCTGCCAACCTTTTGGTTAGCAGCCGAGCTCTCAACCACTGTGCTACCAGGGCTCCCCTATAATAACAACAAAACAATAATCTCAGTTATATTTACTGAGCATGAATACATCTTTATGAGTGCCTCTTTCGGGCACTGGGCATATAACAAGGACCAAAACAAAGGCCCTACCCGCATGAGGATTACAGATAAATGTATAACATGCTAGGAAGTGGCCACAACTTGGGGAAAAATTAAGTCAGGTTAAGAGAAGAAGGAATACCAGCTGATGGGATGGGGGATAAAAAAGGGTATAGAGCTGGTAGTTTAACCCAGTTCTTCTCATTCTGTGTCACATGTTCTTGTCACTACAGCATGCTGCTTGTAAGAATTTACAGTCTAATTGAGAAAGCGAGGGAACTCTACATACTTAAGCCAACTAGAGAACAAACTCAAAGGACCACATTAGTAAGTACAGAGATGTGATATAACTTGGCATAGATACGAGCGTTGAGAAAGAAAAATGGAGAGCACAGCAACATAGATAAAAATCATATTCCTGAAAATCTTTTTCGATTACAGGAAAATAAATAATATATGAGGCCAAAGAAGTTGTGCCATTTGAAAAATCGAAAGCCATGCTCGTTTGGGTAGTATTTAATCGCAACAATTCATTCCATTTTATAAAGTTGGTGAAATCACTATTCTGAACCTGGAATAAGGTAGTTCAATAAAACTATAGGCTAATTTCAGATGTAAGTGCAGATACAAAACATCTAAATAAAATTAGCGAATTGAATTAAGCAATATGTCAAAATAATGATATACCAGGACAAATTTGGTTTTCTTCCAGCTCAACACCAGGAAATCTGTCAACATACTTCTTACCTCAACCGATGAAAGGAGAAAACCCATATGTTCTATCAATAAATGTAGTAAAATTGTTTGTACAATTCAGCAGCCATTTGTAACAAAAATTCAAATGAAAATCAGATTAGGAAGAACGCATTTAAATATGATAAATTCCACTTATAAGACTGCCAGACTGAAGCCTTGAGTAAAATTGAGTACTAGTAAGAAATAAAGAAGAAACATCTAAGTTAGGTAACTGTGATGCAGTAAACCTTTTCTTTTCTGGTGATTGCACTGGCTTCTGAACACTGATGCCCCCACCCACAGCCCCGCACGCTCGCATTGTCCTTGTTTTTACGTTCCCTGGAGTCTGTTCTGACTCATAGCGACTCCATGTGACAGAGTAGAACTTCCCCATAGAGCTTTCTAGGCTTGATTAAGAGCTTGGCTGCTAACTGAAAGATCAATAGTTCAAATCCACCAGCCACTCCTTGGAAGCCCTGTGGGGCAGTTCTACTCTGTCCTGTAGGGTCTCTATGAGTCGGAATTGACTAGACGGCGAAGGATTTGGTCTGTTTGTTTGTTTTTTAATCTTTATGGAGGAGCCCTGGTGGCACAATATTTAAGTGCTTGGCTGCTAAACAAAAGGTTGGCAGTTTGAACCCACTAGCCACTCTGCAGGAGAAAGATGTGGCAGTCTGCTTCTGTAAAGATTGACGGCTTTGGAAACCCTATGGGGTAATTCTCCTCTGTCGTACAGGATCACTATGAGTTGGAATTGGCTGGACAGCAATGGATTAGTCTTTATGGAAGCAGATCACCAGGTCTTTCTCCCACGGAGCTGCTGGGTGGGTTGAACCGCCAACCTTTCGGTTAGCAGCCAGTGCTTAGCTGTGTGCACAACTGGGTCTCCAGCCACAGCCCCCCCACCCCCACCCCCCCCACACACACAAAGAGAGAGCGTGAGCAGGCCTGCAGTTCAGAGATCTGCTTACGCGGCACAGTCCTCACTCTGCTCAGGAGGCTGGAACCACCGGCCTAGGTATGCGCTTCGTGAGGATCAGCAGTGGGAACTGCAGCCACATCCACACGTAGCTCTGCTCTGGCAAACTACTCATTTGCAGGTTGGATAGTAAATGCACCTAAACAGGGTTGAGTCTGAATCATCACTCTCACAAATACTGGATGATTTTTTTCAATTTTTGAAGTCTTTCTTGTCTACCCTAACTCAAACCACAAAGAAGAAAAAATTGTAAAATCCTACCAAAGGATCTAAAATAATAATGACAACGAATATTTATTGAGTTCTGTTATGTTCCAGTCACGGTTCTCATTTAACCCTTACACCATCAAGTAACTATCAGATAGATGCTATTATTACGCCCATTTCACAGACAGGAAAACTGAAAATTGCGAGAGCAAGTAAAGTGCCCAGGATTGCAGTGGAATGTTGTTGCTGTTAGATGGTGTCGAGTTAGTTCTGATTCATAGCGACCCCGTGTACAACAGAATGGGACACTGCCCTGTCCTGCATCCTCAAAATCGTTGTTGTGCTTGAGCCCATTGTTGCAGCCACTGTGTCAGTCCATCTCGTTGAGGGTCTTCCTCTTTTTCACTGACCCTCTACTTTACCAAGCATGACGTCCTTCTCCAGGGTGATCCCTCCTAATAACGTGTCCAAAGTATGTGAGACGTAGTCTTGCCATCCTTGCTTCTAAGGAGCATTCTGGCTGTACATCTTCCAGGATAGATTTGTTCATTCTTTTGGCAGTCCATGGTGTACTCAATATTCTTCGCCAGCACCGTAATTCAAAAGCAGCAGTTCTCCTTCGGTCTTTGTTATTCAGTGTCCAGCTTTCGCACGCATAAAAAGGAAGTTAAGGGTTGGGATTCACACTCAGGCAGTACATCCCAGACTGCACACTCTTCTCTAGTTCTTTACACTCTAATAAATGGATAATATACCATGTTCCTAGATAGAAAAATTTATTCCACAACAATTCTTAAATCTATAACAATAACTTAATTCCATAACAATGTGAATCCTTTCAAACTTACCATAGAAACATAACATTGATTCATTTGTTTTATTTCAAACCGGATAACATGATTTTAAAGTGTAAAGAGAAAACTAAATATTCTAAAATACTCTGGTAAATTATGGAAGAAAAGAATAGTGGGACAACAACTTCCCTAATACTTAAACTTACACTAAAGCCTCTGAATTACAGTAGTATGGAATCGGCATGCAATAAACAAATGGTGACGGGCACAGACTACAGAGTTTAGACAGAGATACATGTGTATGCTGGAACTTGGCTTTCGTAGAAGTGGCATTTTATTTCGTTGAGAGAGGATAGCTTTGCTTCAAAAGGATACTAACATAACTGGCAATCCATGTGAATGAAAAAATAAAATAAAATGGATCCCTTCAGCCTATTATAACTAAATTCCAATTAAATTAAACCTTTAAATATTAAAATAGAAAAGTTAGAAGAAAATAATAATAATAATATAATCTAAAGGTAGGGAGCTCTTTCTAAAGGAAACAAAGAATCTCAATAGCCTTAAAATAAAAGATAGGCATATCTAGTTAGAAAATAATTTGATTTTTTTTGCAAGGCATGAGACACACGCCCCATAAAACAAGTGAAATTCTAAAGCTAGATTGGGAAAGCAGAGGTGTAACACATATCACCAACAAGTTATTTCCCCATAATCTAAAGAGAACTTCTACTAATTGATAAAAAAGACAAACTACTCAATTGAAAATAAAGCATAAAATATGGATAAACAACTTACATAAGAGGCTATACAGATAATCAATAACATTTGAAAAGATTTTACCTCACAAAAAGTCAAGCAAATGCAAATTAATTAAGAAGAAAAATAAAGACACCCAAACCCATTGCCATCAAGCTGATACTGACTCATGACGATCCCGTGTGTTACAGAGTAGAACCGAGCACCATTGGGTTTTCTAGTCTATAATCTCTATGGAAGCAGATTGCCAGGCCCTTCCTCCCTGTTGCCAATTGGCAGGTTCAAACTGCCAACCTTTAGGTTAGTAGCCGAGCATAAGCCGTTTGCACCACTCAGGAACCTTAATTAAGGAAATATGTAAATAATAATGGCAAAAATTAAAAGGAGTAATCATTTCAAGGGCTCTTGAAGACACAGATCATGCGTGATTTCATTGTTTGTGATCAAGCAAATTGCCTAAACTTTTCAAAAAGGAACCTACCAATAATGATTAGAATTAAAAATACATTTACCTTTTGGTGTAGCAATTATTGGCAATCTACTGAATACAAAATAAATACATTGGTATGTATACCTACATTTTCAAGTATTGTTTTTGCAGTAAAGTCATGTGAATAGGATAATAACTGAATGTCTTTCAACAGGATGATAACTGAATAATTTGTTTCCAACCATGAATGAAATATTATGCAACAGCAGAAAGTGCAAGAGTATATGGTATGATATGTTAAGTGTGAAAAGCAAGTTGCAGCTTAATGAGGTATAAATCTCTGTCATATAAAAAATTTAAAGAGAGAGAATGAAAGAGAGAGACTTTACAAATGTGTAGCTATGTTTGCTTTGTTTGTATGATCATACTAGAAAGTATGGAAAAATACATTCCAAGCTATTATTTTGTCACTTTCAGAGGTGACAATGAAGAGCAATGGAAGAGATGAGGGACTATAATTAATATTCCTTTATATATCTTTTTACTCTTTCACTGATGGCAAAATAAAAATATAACATTTGAAATTAAAAAAATTAACATCAACATTTTTAAAAGGAAGGGAGGCAGTTTTGAAGGAGAACTTTACTTTTATTTTAACAAACATTTACTGCACATATATTCTGTATAAGGAGCTTTACCAGGGAGTCTACTGTTGAAAGGAATTGCTATAAGAGTCAAATATTTCCACCTGCTCTTTCCTTGTGGTGCATTCATATTTTGTATTGATCAAGGAGTCTTAGAATTACACAATCGTGTATCTAGAAATCAGGGTAGCAGTTGTCTCTTCATTTTACACATGAGGAATCAGAGGCCCAGAGACTTAAAGTGTTTTATTCAAAGTCACACAGTTCAACTGGCATAGAATATAAGAGGCATTTATCCTCAGCTCATTGTACCAAGCTTCATAAATACTCTTATTAATAAAGTTCTTAAGTATAGTTTGATGAAGTTAAAGAAAGAAGTAAAGAGATTACAGTGATTGATTATGTATGCTACTGTTTTCAGGTTTGAAGCAAATCAACTAAGCTGCATGCTAAAATTTTTGCTTAAAAAAGGAATCTTTGAAGGAGCCTTGATTGTTCAATTACTGAAGGCCATTCTCCTAGGATCTGAAAGAGGTGGTAAAAGTTACTGGCTCTGTAAGCACCCAGCCAGCTCCCTAGCTAGCCTCTTTTCAGAAAAATGCATAAAAACTAAACAGGAAAATGAAAATGTTAACAATTAAGAACCACGCAACTAAAAAAAAAAAAAAAATCATGATAGACGAGGCATCTCTGAAATAAACATTTTATTTCCAGCCAGAAACTGCAATTCTGTTTTAAATGTGAAATCGTTGTTTTAGAGAACATAATTCTTGTTTCTTCAGGCTAAGAACATGCTCTTTGAGCTGAATTTTCTGGGACGCACATTTTTCAAAACCCCCTTTGTGTACAATAGCTGTACGAACAGTCAGGGAAATGGCGCTGACTGAAGGTTTTAATCTCGTACATTCTGGCCCCACCATAGCAAACGTGCTCTTAAGCACAGGAAAGAAGGGAATAAAATATTTAGCTAACAAGCTCTCTACAAATCTTGGACACATTTATTTTTAATAATGGCTCCAGGATATTTTCAGGAAGGTGATCAATTTAGATACCATTTCTGTTAGCCTACCAATTTTAATGACATTGTCTTCTCCACCTTGTTATAAAAGGGTGTTTTATATATTCTTCTAAAATTTTCTGTAGAAGCAGAACCATGTCTTCCGACTCACTACTGTCAAAAAGATATATTTTCTAAGTCTCACATTTTCAATGGGGAAAATAGCTCATTTCTGGATGTAAACATTTATAGTAGAGAACATAAGGGTGTTTTAGATCTTCAGATGATTGTTTCAAGCATTATTTCATCAAATCTCTTAATCTCTTCGGGTAGATATCTTATTCAAGTTTTATTTTCTGAGTGCTTTTTCACGCCTCAGTACCAAGTTCCAAATCAATCCACTGTTAGCCAAAGACTAATGCAGACCATCTCCCACTTTGTTCTCCTCTCAAGCCCTGCCAAGCTCTGACTGAACTCTCGGGATATTCTGGTTCTACAAGTAAGGAGGTGGTAGACTACACTGGTGGTGCGGTGATTAAGCACTCAGCTCCGCAGGAGAAAGATGTAGCACTCTGCTTCCATAAGATTACAGCCTTGGAAACCCCATGGGGCAGTTCTACACGGCCCTCTAGGGTTGCTATGAATTGGAATCGACGTGACAGCAATGGGTATACTACAGATACAACCAAACTGCCATCGAGTCAATTCAAACTCATGACGACCCCATGTGTTGCAGCGTAGAACTGTGCTCCATAGGACTTTCATGCCTGTGACCTTTTGGAAGCAGATTGCCTGGCCTTTCTTCTGAGGTGCCTCTGGGTGGGTTGGAACCACCAACATTCCAGTTAGTTAGCTCAGTGCTTAACTGTTTGCACCACCCTTAGTAAGAATATTCTTTGGAGAATCTCAGGCTATATTCCTTCAGGAGGACACTTTTACTCTGACTGAATATAGAAAATTTGGGTCAGCCTTCTCTAATTTTTCTAGTACTCGTTTCTGACTTTGATTTTGTGTAGAGTTATAAATGTAAATATCAATCTATCACCTCTTAGAAATCCTTTTTTTTTTAAAGATTCAGTATAACTGTATGTTAAGGGGAAAATGTTTATAATTTAATGGGTCATGTCTACAACTACTTACTGAACTCCACCTGTGTGCATGACATTAGATGTGTATACAGTTTAGACCCTGCTATCAAGAACCTTACAGTCTATTTGGGAGATGAAATACATATCCTAAACTTGAAGGTAACAATAAAAGAGAGGAACCAGGATGGGATATGAATTAGTGATTTTTTTAATGGTCTAGGCACATTTTTTTTAGGATCCTTTTTCTTCCACAAAAACGTGTGTATTACCACTATGCTCTTGCAAAATTTAGCCAGAAAAGAAAAGAAACTGTAGTCCTTATGGTATTCCATTAAACATGCTATTTTTTTCTTTTTTCCGGATACTGAAGTCCATAAGTTAAACAAGATCATCCTTCGCTTGCTTCTTGAAAAGATCTCTATGTATCTCTTATCTTTGAGAGTGGAATGTGTTCTTATTGTTTTACTTGCTACACTTATGCAGAAGAGAGATTCAAGAACCAAATATTTTGCATCCTCAGAAAATGCAAATAAGGATGCCTCTTGCCCTCCTGCAGGAAAGAGAAAATAGAGACATATTTAGAATGCACACTAACAATGCAAAGCGAGGTGTTCTGATGCTTCGTTTAATTGAGTTATAAACACGAAAGCTGTCAAATTCTGCCACTGCCCTACTGATGTGTGGAGACGTGTGAGTTCCCTCCATGTGTTTGCTCTGTGTCCTTCAGAACACCCACAGTGGAGATGAATCACTACGGCGTGTCCTAGTCTGACAGTCTAGAAAGTATCAAGACGCAGAGCCAAATCCAGGAAACGGCATTTCATTAGTTCCTGGTGTGCTGGTAATTGATCCCAAACCCTTCATTACCGTCTCGTGCAAAGGGGCTGAGCAGAAAGGAGACATTGAGAAAATGATTTCCCTGCAAAATAGAGCAAAATTCTAGGCCACGTGAACTGGACTTGCTCTGTTCTTGTACCGTCACATTGATTCCAAGTTTCTCTTTTATTTCAGGTCACCTGGTTACCCCCCCTCATCCAGAATGGAGACATACTTAGCTATGAGATCCGCATGCCTGACCCTTATATCACAGTAACCAATATTACTTCCTCAGTGTTGACTCAGATAATTACTCAGCTGATTCCTTTCACTAACTACTCTGTCACCATTGTGGCTTGCTCAGGGGGCAATGGGTACTTAGGAGGGTGTACAGAGAGCTTACCTACCTCGATTACCACCCACCCCACCCTCCCGCAGGATGTTAGCCCTTTGGCCGTGGTCCCACTAAGTGAATCGTATGTTGGGATTTCTTGGCAGCCCCCGTCCAAGCCAAATGGACCTAACTTGAGGTAAGAGAAAGGACTCTCCTTTTGGATTTTGCTGTGGTCTTATCTCTCCAGGGAGGAGGGAGGGAGAAGTGCTCTCTCATACCGATGTAGGACTATTTCCTTATTGAATGTCCCCCCACATGTGACTCTTATTAAATTTCATTTTGTGTCTCTTGACTCATACGGAACCATGAAAGTTCACCAAGATGGAAAAGTTATGATACTGTGAAGGTCTGAAAAATCCTTAAAACAGCAATCACCGACTCTCTAAGGATTCTCTACCTAGACCTTCCCTTGACTGTCAAAGCATATTTTTATTATATATTAGGCAAACCTGGCACATGTTCCAAACGATACATGTACACAACTATGTCTCAAAATTCCAAAACTAACCCAACGGCTTTTTGTGGGTCTTTTTGGCACATTATTTTTAGTATTTGGAAACTTGTAAGGAGTGTGGTCAGGGATAGAGCTGAGATGAAAGGAAAGAGTTGTGATTCCGAAATGGCTTTATGAAAGCCTGAACTGCAAACTTAGCCAAGACCATGGAGCTGATAATATTATCATTGTTTATAAAACGTAGATGGTAGCAGTCTGAGGAAATCATTAACTTCATAAGCGTTTTGTGTTTCAACTTTGTGTGAAACTGCCAACAAAGTGTTGGCAAATCTCACGTAGAAAAAAAGCCTAAAATGTTATAGTTCCTGCTGTTAATAGTAGAATAGGAAGGTAACAGATTGTGTCCAAATAATTGACTCAGTGGAAACTGGAATCAGAAAAATGTTTATCTGGAAAAAAAAAAATTTGTAGTTATTCACATACGGTATCTTCTCTGTTTGCACACGTACACCACGCACACGCCACAAACCCACCTGAATTTTGGTTGTAACGTTACTTGAGATAATCCCGATGTGCCTGCTTGTCTTTTGCTTTAGATATGAGCTTCTGAGACGTAAAATCCAGCAGCCACTTGCGTCAAATCCCCCAGAAGATTTAAATCTGTGGCACAATATTTATTCAGGAACTCAGTGGTTTTATGAAGATAAGAGTCTTAGCAGGTGAGATTACCAAAACTATAAAAACAAACGCTGGCATTTAGTTTTAGGTATGGTGAGTAGTTCGAAGTCTCTGAGCGTCTTCAGTGTGTGAGCATGTTATCAGCTATGCAGTAAAACACGTTTGGTTGTTATCTGTGGCGTTAATCATGGGACTGCTACAGTCAGCACCTTTAATGTTTGCCATCTTAACTACGTGCTGAAAATAAGCCTTTTGAAGTGGAACTTTCATGTGCTTAAGCCTTAACCTATTGCCTTTGTCACAGCTCTGTCCAGACATGAAAACTTAATAGAGGAATCTGGAAATAGTCAACATGTACAAAAGTGGGAAAATTACTGAATACAAGTAAAATGCTTACTATTTCTGGGCAGTCATTGATTGTAAATCATTGATTCAGTCCACAAAAATTATTCAGTAAACAGGCTTGGGATTTGAAAGACTTCAATCTACAGTTCAGACACATCAAGAGACAGGCAAATGGCAACATCAGAGACACTACTGCAGGGCAGAGCTAGGGGATCGGAGTTCTGCTTCATGCTGTGCCAGAGAACTAGCTCGGTGACCTTGGACAAGTCACTTAACTTCTCTGGCTTCACTTCCTTTGTCTACAAAATGAGGATATTAGATGAGGTTACATGACTTAAAATCCTTTATGGTCCCAAGCAGCGTATTCAATTTTTTTTAATATGAATATTGTTTTATCAAAAATTTTCAAACATCCTATTTTTCCACTAGAACCTGTACATAGACCAGGAAACAGTCATTCAAACAGAACAAAGGCATACTGTGTGGTTTAAAATCAGGAAAGGTGTGCATCAGGGTCGCATCCTTTCACCATACTTATTCAATCTGTATGCTGAGCAAATAATCCGCGAAGCTGGCTATATGAAAAAGAGCACGGCTTCAAGATTGGAGGAAGACTTATTAACAATCTGTGATATGCAGATGACCCAACCTTGCTGAAAGTGAAAAGCACTTGAAGAACTTACTGATGAAGATCAAAGACCACAGCCCTCAGTATGGGTTACACCTCAATTTAAAGAAAACAAAAATCCTCACAACTGGACCAATAAGCAACATCATGACAATCAGAAAAAAGATTGAAGTTGTCAAGGATTTCATTTTACTGGGATCCACAGTCAACACCCATGGAAGCAGCAGTCAAGAAATCAAACGACGTATTGCGTTAGGCAAATCTGCTGCAAAAGACCTCTTTCAAGTGTTGAAAAGCAAAGGTGTCACTTTGAGGACTAAGGTGTGCCTGACCCAAGGCATGGTATTTTCCATCATCTCACATGCATGCAAATACTAGACAATGAATAAGGAAGACCAAAGAAGAATTGATGCCTTTGAATTATGGTATTAGCACAGAATACTAAATATGTCATGGACTGCAGAAGAATGAACAAGTCTATCTTGGAAGAAGTACAGCCAGAATGTTCCTTAGAAGCAAGGTGAGACTTCATCTCACATCCTTTGGACATGTTATCAGGAGGGACCAGTCTCTGAAGAAGGGCATCATGCCGGGTAAAGTACAAGGTCAGTGAAAAAGAGGAAGACCCTCAACAAGATGGATTGATGCGGTGGCTGCAAGATGGGCTCCGGCATAACAACGATCATGAGGATGGTGCAGGATGGGGCAGTGTTTCGTTCTGTTGTACACAGGGTTGCTATGAGTCAGAACCAACTCAACGGAACCTAACAACAACAATTTTTCCATAACTTTTTGATCAGGTTAACTATTTTTCTAGATCTACCACAGAGTAGCTATTCTCTGAACGCTCTTTCACCTCTAACCCTGTCTCCCACCTCTCCCTCACCCGAGACTGTGTGTCTCCCTTACCTGAGACTGTGTGCCCCCCTTACCTGAGACTGCATTTGCATGACTTTGAGTAACTCTAACAAGCAATACTCCCTCACTCATCTTCTTCCCATGCTGACTTTTCCTATTGTCTGACTAGATCATCCTTCAAATCTCAGCCTAGAAGTTGTTTCCAGGAAGCCTTCCTTGACCACTCTCTCCTAGTCTGAATCAAGTGCCCTTTTATTGATTTCCATAACACACCCTTAACATAAACTTGTTGTTGTTGTGTGCTGCTGAGTCAGTTTTCAATTCATAGCGATCCTATGTGACAGAGTAGAACTGCCCCATAAGGTTTCCTACGCTGTCATCTTTATGGGAACAGATCTCCAGGCCTTTCTCCCACAGAGCTGCTGGATGTGTTTGAACCACCAACCTTTCAGTTAGCAGCTGAGTGCTTAAACATTGTGCCACCAGGGCTCCTTAACGTTATTATCATTGTGATGTACTAGCCTGGCTGCTTGTCTGAACACACCATTATATTGTTACACCCACCATGAGAGGGGCTTTGTCTTGGTGACTTTTGTATCCTCAATGTCTAGTACAGTGCCTGGTACTTAAGGGTACTCAAATATTTGTTGAATGAAAGAATATGTTAAGTCAATAAAAGATTGATAATTTAATTTCTCTAAGCCTTAAGGTTATTAAGTGTATTTTTATTCTCTTGAGGAAATGGGTTAAACTAAGGACAATTCTTCTGTCCATTGGGAAGTGTTGTGTGGGAAAACACTATAGATGTTCCAAAGACTTAGAGAGAAGCAGCTTGTAAATCTAACCAAGCGTTAGAGTGAACCTTATGAAATTACCACTTTTGTAGGTAAAAAATGGTCAATTATTGTTCTTTCAGTTGTTGTCAGTTGCCTTCAAGTTGGTTCTGACTCATGGCAACCCCATGTACAACAGAACAAAACATTGCCCAGGCCGGCACCGTCTTTGTGATCACTGCTATGCTCGAGTCTGTTGTTGTACCCACTGCGTATTTTGAGTGCCTTCCTGCTTAGGGAACTCATCTTCCAGCACTAGATTGGATGATATTCTGTTGTGATCCATGAGGTTTTCATTGGATAATTTTCATAAGTAGACTGCCAGACCTTTCTTCCTAGTCTGTCTCAGTCTGGAAGCTCTGCTGAAACTTGTCCACCACGGTTGACCCTGCTGGTATTTGAAATACTGGTGGCATAGCTTCCAGCATAACAGCAACATGCAAGCCCCCACAATGTGACAGACTGATAGACGGGTGTTGGGTCAATTATTAGTGGATCCTTATTATTCAATCTGTATTGTCACGGGTGCCACACTATTCTCAACTATTTTTGATTCATTATTTGCTTAATTCAGTGTCCCTATAGGATTATCACTTCAACTGAAGAAATTTACTTCTTCAGCAATTCGTTTTTGCTTAATATATGCTAAAGCCCTGTGAAAAGGAACAAATGGTGAATATAACAGAAGGCTTGCCCTCAAAGAGCTCGCAGTCTAGTGGAGGAGGCACTAGATACACACACACACACAAACACACACACGCACGCACGCACGCACGCATGCACACACACACACACATACACGCAAACACACACACACATACATGCATACACACACACGCACACACATACACGCATACACACACACACATACATGCATACACACACGCACACACACATGCATACACAAATACAGAGTGTTATATACATATTAAGTGTTATCATCAAGGTTAACTATGGAGTCACTGACTGCCTAGGAAACTAGTAGAGAAAAATAATTTTCTATAATTATGAACCCTAAGAGTAGAACTGCCCCATAGGAGCGACTGGTGGATTCGAATTGCCAACCATTTGGTTAGCAGCCAAGCTCTTAGCCACTGTGGTACCAGGGCTCCAGTAAGTGCCTTAAATACAGCAATTTCTAAAAAGAAATAGAAATTTACTATTTAGTGTTTACTGAATTCAATTTTTAACCATCAAATGTTCATCAGAAACAAAGAATAAGCCCAGAAGATTAATTATGTGTGTGTTCCCATCTATAACTTCATTTCAGATCGTTTAGTCAGAGGCCACGATGTTTTCTTTCCAGCATATGAGGTGCGTGTGTGCAAATAACAACTTCCCTGATAAAATATTGATGGCAGCCCACCTTCCCACCTCCCAGACCTGCAGTGTAGGTACTGCACTGGGGCTTCATGAGTGCCCTGAGGACTTGGTGCTCTTGTCTGGGAAAATGCAGCTGTGTTAATAGTAATAACACTTGTAGCAGGTCGCCTGAGAAGCCTGCTTTTCTGGTCTATAACCACTTGGCAATTCCAACTCAGGGCAACCTCATATGTGTTAAAGTAGAACTGTGCTCTATATGATTTTCAATGGGTGGTTTTTTGGAAGTAGATTGCCAGGCCTTTCTTCCGAGGTCCCTCTGGGTCAACTCAAGCCCCCAAGCTTTCGGTTATCAGCCAAGTGTGTTAACCGTCTGGTTCATAGAGTTCTATAACTCTTAAAGGACTTCATGTCATTTGATCCTCATAATCACACTATGAGGCACTAATTTCCCTTGTTCATAAACGAAACAAAAAATTACGAAACAATTATGAACAAGGCCACAAAATTATTATTCAATTTTTAGTAATTTCTCTCAGGATTTTTAATGAGAGGTCCAAATCTAAGATTTAAAGAAAGAAAGTTAAATCCCTTCAAATTAAATTGAAACAGAAGTTGACATAAGCATACAATGGCAGCTGCCTGTGGAATGGAAGTCTGCAGAGAAAAACGTGTGCTGAGTGGTCTTTTGACTAGCTTCAGAACGCTAAATGTCAGGGGAATATTTTTTTTCCACTAAAACTAAGCAAGGATTTTTTTTTCAAGTAACTGCTATGTCCCACATAATTAGTTTAGATAAAAATTAAGTACATGTTTCTTTTTGATATTCAAGGTAGCAGGAGACTTCATATTTTGAGAATTTTTCTCTAACTGTTGACCTTTTTGTTTTTGTTGTAATTGTTAGGTGCTTTGAATCTATTCTGACTCACAGTGACCCTCGAGGACAGAGTAGAACTGCCCCGTAAGGTTTCCAAGGAGCGGCTGGTGGATTTGAACTGCCGACCTTTTGGTTAGCAGCCGAGCTCTTAACCACTGCACCACCAGGGCTCCTTACCCT